TTGCGGCACGAATGAGAGTGGTGAATCAGTGGGCTTGCTCGGCCATTGCAGTGACCTCCCTGTACAGGCTTGAGAAGGATAATTTAATAATATCAACAATGTTTATCAAAACTAGATTCGAAGCTTTCAGTGACTGCAGGAATTACTTCTTTGGTTATTTTGGTAAAGTCGCGTAGAAAATAAAATAAAATAATAATATAATACGACGTTGCAACATAAGCAACCATCATCAGGTAAGAATGAATGATAAAACACAGACACGGAAACAAAATAGGGAGACACACATGCAGAGAGAGACACACACAGACATACCGAGGGAGACACACCAAGAAAACACAGACACGGAAACAACATAGGCGGACAACATTTGTGTGTCTCTCTCTGCATGTGTGTTTGCCTATGTTGTTGCCGTGTCTGTGCTTTATCTTGGTGTGTGCCTCGCTCGGTATGTCTTTGTGTGTGTGTCTCTCTCTCTGCATGTTGTCTACGTATGTTGTTTCCGTGTCTGTTTCCTTGGTGTGTGTCTCGCTCGGTGTGTTTTTGTGTGCGTCTTTCTCTCTGCATGTGTGTCTGCCTATGTTGTTTCCGTGTCTGTGTTTTAGTATTCATTCTTACCTGATGATGGTTGCTTGTGTTGCAATCGAAACGTCATATTCTATTATTATTTTATTTGATTTTCTACGTGACTTTACCGAAAGAACCAAAGAGTAATTCATGCAGTCACTAAAGCTTCGAATCTAGTGTGAACCACCTCCTACGAGGAGGGTTTACTAACAACTCACACTTTACTTCTAATTTAGCAATCTTTTGGAGTACGTTAATCAACCAGGCTATGCGTTAACTGTGTGTTAGCCGACTCTTTGTGTTGCATTACATTACATTCTCTAATTTTACGACATTTGTTGTCACACTTCCTACTTTTCTCTCTAAATGTCTCCTTGCTTGTCTGTTCCACACTTAACTTCTAATTTAGCAATCTTTGGAAGAACGTTAATCAACCAGGCTATGCGTTAACTGTGTGTTCACCGACCCTCTGTATTGCATTGCATTACACTTCTTAATTTTACTAAATTTGCTTTCTCAAACTTTCGATTTTCTTGCCCTAAACCATTGTCTCTCCTCCGGCCACTGTGGTCCAGAATTCCACACTGCTCCCTCCTTGTCCCCTCGTTTGTCCGCTGGTACAGCCTCCCCAGTCCTCTCTCTACCCCCCCCCCCCTCTCTATTTAAGGCCTCGGCACAGATTCGTTGTCCTTGTGTTTGTCTTGGTGTGTGTCTCACTCTGTGTGTGTCTCTCTGCATATGTGTCTGCCTATGCTGTTCCCGTGTCTGTGTTTTATCATTCATTCTTAGCTGCTGATGGTTGCTTATGTTGCAACCCGAAATGTCGTATTCTCTTATTATTTTATTTTCTACGTGACTTTATCGAAAGAACCAAAGAGTAATGTTTATCCAAATAGCTTGAGTAATGTGTCATTTATAATGTGAAGTTTTTCTCTTTAATGGACACGATTGGCATTGTGTGCTATTATTTAACTATCTGTGATGAGATGGAATCTGTCACGTGTATCTTTCTTACATGTTATACACGTTCCATATGCACTATGTCCTTGTGTGTTTATGAAACAAAGTATAAAGGACGTGTAAATCGTTATCCCATTCATGAGTAGCGTAAGCCTTTTTTGAAAGTTTGTTTACATTTTAATTCATCCCCTAATTTTTGTTCAAACATTGTATTTAAATAAGAATGTGAATAGTAAACCCAGTAAATTATGTATATCCCTCACCACCTCAGCACGCACTGCTATACCTGTGCACAGGGGCACTACTTTACTTCACTCCACACCACTGAATAAAATCATTCCTCCCGACGTGGCACCTCCACGAACCAGACACTGTCGTTTCCCACAAATCGGCTTCACTGGTGCAGTTTATCTGCCCGTGCTCTGACTTGATTTAGTAGATTACTGACTCGGGGAGCTTCAGGATAGCCGTTGATCGGCTTTGCTTAAAATCAACACGCAGCTCTTGTTTGAGAGGAGGCAATCCTCCTGGCAAGAGTGAAGTAGTCACAACCGGGGAGGTAGCTTCTTGCTGAACCGATGTACGACTCCCTGAAACCATACACACCCTGCTTCCCACAACACGCCCAGTGATGCTCAACGGAACGGCAGTATCTTCCATGCGTATAATGTTTATCTTTTTTCCACAATCTTATCCCGATTGTGCTCTTGGCCTCATGTAATTAAACTAAAAATCCATTCAGATGTCTCACACAGCAGTGCAACCCTTGCTGTTAGAGGCCCACTAAGTGGATATCACAGAGATACATCTGAGATCTTTTTAAGTGACCTCAGATCCACGCAGTATAGGGCAGCACTCCGACCTGCTTTGCCACCAAGAGTTTTGTCTGTCACATGACCGTCAAAATGACATATTTTAAGCCTCATAGTTTGGATTTTAGCCCAATTAAGTGTAGTCCCAGAGCCAGGTGTAAACTCCTGCATTATTTTATTTCAAAGTAGCACTGTAGCACTGCTCTTCAAGTGAATATCAGCAACAGGAGTGTCCCCAAAAAACCCCAATGTGATCTACTGGGATCGAGCACCCTTGGAATCTCGCGGCTGAGTTCTGCAACTGCTTTCCCATCTGGCTGGCTGTGTGACCTCTGTGCTACGCTATTGAAATCTCGTGGTTTGGATTCTCGAATGTTTTTCCGTCTCGCTAGCCGCATGAACTCTGGGCTGAACTGGCTACTCTGGCTTCATGCTCCACCAAGCAAGCGCGCTGTCGCGTCTCCTCGCTCAGCGATGCCAGGGGAGGCACGTGCGTGGCGGCATCGCCGGCCGATCGCGGCCATTCCAACAGTCTGCGCTCCTTGTGCTCTTGCCAATGCACTCACTGCTCTGTAATTATTGATACGGAATCACGTATTTATTTATTGTGCCTTTTTGGTGGTTGTGAGCCACTCACTGATCCAAAACGTTACCCGAAGTATATATAGTGGTGGAATATTCACGCGCTCTGCTGTGTGCTTATGTTAATGTAGACAAAACAAATTTAGTAAATAGACATTATTGCTAATTGAAATATAGAAACAAACACTACATTTATATTATTGGTTCTTTCGGTAAAGTCACGTAGAAGGGAAATAATAAATCATAAAAATATCGAACAATAAAATAGTGAGAATTTTATTGTTTTATATATTTTTTTTCCTTCGACGTCACTTTACCGAAAGAACCAAGAATATGAATCCCTGCAGTCAGGAAAGCTTTAAATCAAAATTTAAACACTACATTTGTTTCATTTGAGTTTCATTTCATGGTCGTAGGCGGTGCATTCATCAGAAAGCAATTACATCCTAACGCCAGAAACATTTAGCATATGCAGATAGTCCTATGGAGAGATTTACTCCCATCACGGAATGTGGAATTTCCACCACTGGCTCAGAGCTGTACACAGGAAATGAGTACAGCCTCAACGGTCATTTGAGCAGGAAATTACTTTGATTTTGGTAAGTGTGGACATTTATAATTCGTCAGGCTCGCTAAGTTAAAATGATTACTGTGCACGTCCTGACCACTCTCACGTGTATGACCCATACCTTGCACGGTACGGGCAGGAGATGCTTTGCTCTGCCTTCATTAACCGATCAAAAGTTAAGGCCAAAGTGATTTTATCCTCAATAGAGCATTGATGTGGTGCTCATCTCCTGTTTACAGCCCTGATTCGGTGGTGGAAATTCTACCCTCTATTTTTTTTACCACATTTTTACTAAAGTTATATTCGCTCCATTATCCCAAATGTATAACTTTCATAGAATGTGAATTGTCAATCATTGACTCTCACACATTCATGATTCAGTGCGTGTGTAGTGAGTCCAACTGAATCGCAGACGTTGTTCCTTTTAGAGGCAACACATTTATTTGTAACACCGTAACACAAAGGGGTAACTGCCCCTTTACCAGATACAACCTTGGATGGTGACCACCCAGCTAACTACACTATACAGTGGCATCACTGCGACGAAGGGTCGGACCCTCACTTGGGTCTCTGACCACGTGGTTCCTCGTAGGACGAAGAGCTGCAGCTTGAGATGTTGAGCTTCCAGCTTATAGTATGAAGAGACGCCGGTCCCTCTCAGGGACTCGCCTTATATCCCCCTACGGTCGGGGCCGCTCCGCCCTCGGCCCCGCCCGCCTTCTCGAGCATTCTCGATCCTTCTCAAGAGCTCTCCCCAGGCACGTGATCACCCACTAGCCCCCCCCACCTGGGGCCCCGTGTGTGGACACTCCGGATCACGTGTCTACGGGGTCAACCAGAGTGCCATGGCCCGGGGCAACCCTGCCCCTGGGCTGACGCTCACCCACTCCCCCTCGTGGGAGCCCCCCACCACACGCTGTGCGTGGTGCCCGCACTATCCCAGTGCTCGCCAAGCCCCGCTAGGGCTGGTGTTACACACAGCCACCCACACGGTGCTGTCCACGATGTAGGAACATCCAACGGCGCGACCCTTCTGGGCCGGCACCATACAGTGACATCCCCGATGTCACTACACGCGTGTATCATGAGCATAACAATACATTTTAATTGATGAATCAGTTGCATCGTAATCGCCTCATGGGTTCTATTACTGGCCTAGCACAATATCAGTGGCAATTAGTTTCTAAACGTCCCATAGGTTAATTAAGTCAATAATGAGTACCTGGGGTAGTGTGGTCAACCACTGCACATTACACTAGTGACAAAAGCTCCTTCCAAGTCATGATGGCTTTAATAGCAACTTGCCAACAACACTTCCCCATGGGTCTGTGGAAGATGTAATGTTTCACCAAATATTTTCTGGGTCACTAAGACTGGAGTAGGCACATGACTGGTAGTCACAGCTGTAGTGAGAAGTATGTGGTGTGCCGGGTCGCTGAAATATTTCCCTGGTTGCAGCCACGAACAGACCCGGCTGGAACGAAAACTCTGGGCCTCTGTCTCTGCGTGCGCAGGCAAGGGCGACCTCATCGGCTGCGACGTGTCGAACCGGGGCGACGTGATCAAGAGCAACGCGGATGTGAAGGCGCTCACCTACTGCGACCTGCAGTGCATCAACCTGCGCGGGCTGTGCACCGTGCTCAAGCTTTACCCCGAGTACGCGTGCCGCTTCCGGCATGACATCACGCGCGAGCTGACCTACAACCTGCGCGAGGGCCACTCCGCACAGGTGGGCGTGCGTTCGGTGTGTGCACTGCGTGCGTGCACGCACACACAAGTACTGAAGGCAAGTACGCACTGATCGCAAGCGCCCAGGCATGCACGCATGTTCGCATGCACGCTCGCACGCACGCAAGCACGCAAGTGTCCAATGACTCTTACAGTTGGCACCTCGGATTAGTACGGTTGTCTATGTACAGTGCGAAAGAAGTTTAACATAGATGCATACGTACATGATTGATGACCTGTTAGGATTAGTTAGCTGTGCATTGTCACTCGGGCAAGCAAATTTGTGCAAAAGCACTATTCACACGTGCAAAAAACTGCTTAATATGAAACATATCAGCCTCATTCTGTTATGTTTGTATACACCGAAACGAAACGGGCTTCGAATTGACAAGCAGTGACCTCACTTTGCGGCGACATAGTCCGTGGAGCATATTTATATCACATGCTAAATAAACAGGATGGAAATGGGATGTTCTGCTGCAAAATTTATTGCACAACTGCTTTAATTAAGACCATCGTGACACCAGAAATGTATGATGAAGAGATTGCCGCAGTCGCCACATTCATCATTCGCTCCTCACGAGCTTTGGTGCGATGAGGATGGTGGAGGAGGGGGTGAGGAATGGGGGAATGGTGAGCATGGGATTTGAGAGGGGGGGAGGGCCCACATAAGACTCTGAAGGGAGAGGCCCCAGAGGTCTAATTTCATCGGAGGATAAAACAAGCGCCGTGCAAACCCAAATTACCCACACGTCATGAGTGCTCGCTCCGAGGCACGTGATCGATCATACGCGGCCACAGTGGCTCGCCCCTCGCCCCGCGACTCGCTGACGCCAGCAACAAACGGCGGGTGCAGTGGGGCGCATGGCTTCAGGGAGCCTTCACGCCTCCGCGGCCTCTTCCTCCCAGGATCCTCGTCAGACGACCCACCCCGTTTGTGCTCTGTTCCTCCCCAGTTCTGCTGTCAATTTTATAAACGTAAGCAGTGACCTGCACAGTGTGATTCATTTGGAGCCAGGGGCCTGGGGAGTGAGCGTCGTGCTTATAGAAACGTAGCTTAATCCTTGTAGAGATTGATTAATTTGTAAAACACGAGGTACTTTCCACAGTGATGCAATGATACATTGAATAGGTGTTTTTTTACTTAGAACAACATGTGTTTGCCTTTACTGAGCTTTATATTGTAAGGATGCAATAGTTGGCATGTGACAATGCATTTATTTTTGTTAATTGAAAAAGATTCCAAAACTTAAATTTGCATTAAATCGTAAACAGATTGATACATGCATTTGATAGTGCATGTATTATACCCTTGATAATGAGTGGTCTCCGACACAGTAAGTAACTTTGGGTTGTTTATTCAATAAAAGCTCGGTACAGCCACGTGTCTCTGTTTCTTCCTTTATTTGGACATCCACTTTTCATGTCGCTACGCTGCCCCGCGCCACGTGGCGCTAACCCACTCTCCAACGCACCACTGGCTGACAGTGCACTAGGAAGCGGCTGGCGGCTGGAGGACGCCATCTCCATCCACGTGGTGGACGTATGACCCAAGTCGTAATCGTCCTTGCTGAATATGTCAGAAAATTCCGATAACAAAAGGCGCAATTCCTCACGCCGAGTCGGTGACAACGAGGCGTTTTCGGCACACAGGTTGGCGATCCACCGTTCGTCCATTGAGCCTTTCTGACCGACAGCGCAGGCAGTCTGAGCTGATGTGCGCTCTACCCGGTCGGTAAACGCGGTGGTAGCATGAGCGAGGACAGTGCCCGTGGGCACGACCACGTCGCCCAGCCCCCCATTCAAAATCTGCAAGAACGGGGCCTGACCCGCTCTAAGGATGGTCTGAGCGCATACCAATGTCAGCCCCCACATAGCAGCGTTCGAAGGCGTCAACAAAACTTAGTTTTCCGCGACAACGCAACCGATATGCTTACAATAACGGAGCGGAATCGACATTTGCGAACCCGATGGAACAGTGATGGTGGTATCAACCAACGCCCAAACCGTATCGGCGGACGCCGGTTGTGGCAATTGCGACAATAAAAACTGCACCCGACGGCAGCTCCAAACAACCTTGGTTGACGAGGATTTTAACAGGCATCCAAGACAAAAAAAATCAGTGCCCAACAGGCATGGCCAACATGCGTGAAATCAACACAGGCCCCGACGCGTGAACTTCCCCAATGGCGATACATGCATCGACCTGGCCAATGATGCCCATACTACCCCCGTTGGCCACAACACACACATTGTAAACCGGCCAAACACACGACGCAAAGATATTCAACAACTGGAAAATGACATCAGAGATAATCATAGCCGAGCCCCCGTGTCAACCAGAGCACTAACCTCAACACCCTGAATAGTGGCCACGACCATCGACAATCCCACCACCGCGGCAACTACTCTACGAGCCAAATTCCTCCATTGAGTCTGCGAATCCGGCCAGCCATCATTAACAGTGCTCCGGTGTGTATAATGCATCGAACCATCCCGATGCGATGAACCCGTCCCGGTGACATGGGATGAATGAGATGGTGAACGTGCCCAGGTGCCCAACGTGTGCCAACTCGCCTGTGTGGAGGGACGTGAAGTCGGACGGTCGGCCACCAGGGACGCAGATGGCGATCCAGATGACGATGTGAGATGAACGCGGCATTCCCTGGAGTAATGGCCCACCCGGCCACATCTGTAACATGTGACGGGAGGCTGCTGGTGTAGCAGATCGCCGTCCCAGCGCGGTCGGAAGACACTTTGACGACGCCGACCATCCTTCCGACGCTGATTCCATGGAGCAACAGCCCCCGCGACGTCGCCCACTGACGGCGCCTCCTCAGGAACGACAACCACCTTAGACGGATGCCAGCCGATGGGTTGACCATCTTTAGCTGGGTCTCCCGTCCACGCTGCCATCTGCGCCCAGCGCTTTAAGTTCTCATGCGCGTTGAGGCAACATGCAGCCTACAAGGACGTCTTCACTTCGTGGCCGCACGTGGGAAGGCCGACATCCATCTCCTTGGCCAACACCAACATGCATTCCATCACCAGCGGATCCAAGTGCTCTCGTTTCACATCGGGGTAGGCGTCAACTGCCAAGGCCATCAAAGCGCTTCTGTAGGCTAGGGGCGACTCAGAGCTCCCCCGCCTACAGTGCTGAAATTTTCTCGTTCTCTCGTCGGGCGGCTCGTAGACCTCCTCCATCTCAGCAAAGGCTTGTGTGAGCGTCTTCTTCTTGTCCGGGGAGATGGAACGGAAAACAGCTAACGCATTGTCGTCCAACATGGTGGGTAAGGCAATGAGCGCCTCTTCCTCCGACCAGCGAACCGACTTGTAGGCGGCTTCGAAGCGCCAACGAAAGGCACTCCAATCGCCACCAGCCGCCACAAATTCACGCACGTGGGGCAGGCGTCAACCCCGATCGGCGCTGTCTCTCGCAGCGGGTGTCGCGATGCCCAGTGACTCCCCGCGCAGCAGAGACGAACTGCCGGCCGACGCACCGCTCCCCGCGGCAGTAGTCAAAATGGCGGCTGTAACATGCGTGGTTGGCGGGAACTGCGAAATTACGGCCGTCTTCACCCCGCCCGGAATGGCGGCCGTTTCCACCAAAGGGGGGACCCTCAAAGGCGCCGTCACCAGCCCTCTACCTGTCCACCCCTGGACGGTCCGCCACCGGACTGCCTCCAATGGCAATCGGCGTGACCAGAGTGACGAGGTGGAAGAGCGCCGTTGTCAGGGCGCCCAACTGTGTCTCCGCCCTCTGCCACGGGTCGTCAGGGCGAAGTTGGTGTGAACCTCCCGCCGCGCTGTCTGTCGCAGGTGCTACGTCAGCACCCATCATGGGCTCCATCACCAGGGTCGGCAGAAGCTGAACCACCGTCTCGTCATCGTCGGAGGACACTGCAGGCAGGTTATTTTTCTTCTGATATTTCGACATCGTGTCTTAAGTACCACGACCAGAAGAAGTCCACTTAACCGACACCACTGTAATGAGTGGTCTCCAACACGGTAAGTAACTTTGGGTTGTTTATTTAATAAAAGCTCGGTACAACCACGTATCTCCGTCTCTTCCTTTTTGCGGACATCCACTCTTCGTGTGGCTACGCTGCCCCGCGCCACGTGGCGCTCACCCGCTCTCCAATGCACCTGTTGTATATGTTGGGTATGAAAATTTGTTATGTTGTATGCGTGCGTGGGTGAAATTATTATGTTGTATATGTGGGTTATGAATATTCAGTGGAAATAATAATAATTAAATGAAATTTGGCCAAATATGTAATTATCCGGAAATATGTTAATTTATGTAATTACGCACATTTTAATTATGCCAATTCGAGAGGTAATCGTATTAATTATGCGAGTGGGTGTAATTATGATAACGCAAGTCGTTATGATAACCAGACCCCGGTTCACCCCGTTATCGCTTTAACATTTACTGAGTATGTATTAGTGTGTTTATTAAGGTCACCAAGTTCAAATCTCAACGCAGAAGCAGATCTTATGCATAGATTTCAGGAAAGAATCACACAACCACTTCTGTATTGATCAATTTATTACTAATTCAACCTTAACTATGATATAGTATGCGAACTCTCAATCCCGGAACGTCAATACGGCATCAATACAGTATCATCAACGATTGTCTGATTTCACTTTGACAACTGCACATGGATCCCGCATAACGCGATGGTTGTTAGTGAGAGAGAGAGTCGTTAAAACATGCAAATACTATGCTAAGAAAACCTTAACGTTAATGAATGATTATACTCAATATTGTTCACGCAGTACCGCACTCCTTATTGATCATACGCAACCCTTATCACGTTGTTAACACCTTGGGTCACGGGACAGTTGAATATTCTGTAGAGGATGCGAGTACGTGCGGCGATTATGACTGAAAGATACTTGAAAGATTATACGGCGGAAAAAAAAAAACACAATCAAAACAGTTACTATTCTTAAAGGCACCAATCTCAACAGATACATCGGCAGGTTATCTGACAGCAGAACGGCTCGGAGTAAGGGCCTGCGACGGTGCTCCTTTTCCGAAGATCGTTATCTTATACCAAGTTTACTAATTGGGGACCAGATCACCTGATAAGGATCCGGTGGCCACCACTCCCCACGTGAGCGTGGCTCGGCGGAAGGAGGTGCCAAGAATCAGTTCGTATTGATGGATCTGTTGGGAATTTATGCGATTAAGAGTACAGCCCACTAAATATTAAAGATAAAAATTAAGAATACTCTTATACGACGGAGGCCACCACTCGGTCTCGTTGTGATGCCTTCCCAGCCACGGATGACTTATGGGTTCGAGTGTGTTTGAGTGGTAAGAGTTGTCTTGAATAGTCAGTGTTCGGAGTCGATTCTTTAGGTCAAACAGACGCCTGGTGGTCGTGTGGTGAGGGGGCGGTGCGCGTCATACGTATCCATCGCTCCCCTGTCGGATGGCTGTTGATACGCTGTCGCAGTTCGGAACCCGGTCGGTAGGTGGCGCCCACAACTCGCTCGTAGCGTGCAGCGCTGGATCGTCGCCAAGTCGCGACGCTCACCACCGGCGGCAGCGGAGATCTCCGGCGGCAGCAGAGATTGACGAGCTGAAGATGAGTCGAGCCGACCCGCTGGTCGCAGCTCGCCCCTGAGTCGACCCTCCCGGTCGAGCTCGCTCCTGGGTCGACCCGCTGGTCGCCCTCGCTCCTGAGTCGACTCTCTGGTCGCACTCCTGAGTGGACCCGCTCTGGTCGCACTCGTTCCTGAGTCGACCCTCCCGGTCGAGCTTCTGAGTGGACCCTCCCGTCGCACTCCTGCTGAGTCGACCCTCCCGGTCGAGCTTCTGAGTGGACCCTCCCGTCGCACTGGTTTCCAATGTTCAGGATCCGTTCCTTTATGCTGAAAAATCCCCCTGGATCCCGCCCACAAGGCGGGGCTTCCGATTTTTGCTGTGTCAGGATCTGTCCGTAGGCAGGTGTGTCCATGTGTGTGTCCGTATGTCCTTGTGTGCATCACTGACGGTATATTCCGTTGTCAACTCCCTCCATAAAACCCACGAGCAAACAACCAGATGTTACAAATTGTCTCGAAGTCGTCTCTCTGTCTGGGTGCAATTTATCTCTTGTCTGGCCTTCTTCATGAACCCAAAACACAGACGTTACAAATCGTCTCATAGGCGTCTTTGTTCGTGTTGCACAACCTGGAGGGGGGGCAACACTCTCTCCGACCCGGCGCACAAAGAAATGGTTAAAAGTTTTAAGTTAACATTTGTCCCTTACTATTTCACAGTTATGATTCTGTATGTAACCTAAGGTCTGTCGTTTCCCATCGTGGTTCCCGACCCAAGTGTAGGTGTTTCCCCGAGCGTACACACACTCCTATCCCGCGCTGCGGGGATACAAAGACGGCCGGGATCTCCCTTTCTCTCCGACCCTGGGTTTAACATTGTTTTTTTTTTTTTATTATGTATTTATATTCGACCTGGTGGTGATTCATCCCGTTATCCTGGCTTTTCCATAAGTTTTACTTTGTCTTTTCATGCATATACTTATTACTATTAATTTGTTTCCGATATCTTAGGTTAAGGGGTAAGTTTCTTGATCCTAGGAATTCGTATTCCTTGGTGCCTGGATGGTTATATAAGCGGAATATAGTTTATGGTGAATAGCGTTAACATTGATGTTATGTGCGATATTATGTATTGTGATGTCTTTAACTTAACTTGTTTGTCAGGGCTTTACTGACACGAAGTTGCATTCCATGGTCCGCAGTCTTTGCCCCACCCTATCTCTGCTCGCCGTTGTTGTTGCCTGCCGTTAATTCAAGGCCTCATTAATTTCCGTCACCCCTGAGTAGGTGAGGGCGGTTGAACCTTGGAGTCAGTTCTGGTTTTTGTCTGCCTGCTTCTTCTTGTGTCCCCTGACCCCGGGAGTTATTATTCTACTTTATGGCCTGTCGAAGCCCCACTCGCTGTTGCTGGGCTGGTGTTGTTCCCGGCTTTTTGCTTACGTTTGCAGTTCGCCGTGCTCTTGATTTCCTTCCCTCTTCAACCTTATATTGACTATTCGCTCCTGTCTGGGTGCGATTCAATTTTGACTTAGGAAGGTTCTGATTGTCATATGCTTCGGGTCGAATTGTATAGAAAGTATTGAAGTATGGAAATAACATTTCATATTGACTTAATAATGGTGATGGTTCAGTAGGCGTAACTTGTGACCTGGTTTAATTGGAGTGGGTGTGAATATCAATAACTTTAGCCTACTCTGTTGTTAAATTCCGACTTTAACGTTACTTTAATAGCAATACAGAATAATTGAGCTTTTTGTCTTAACTTAGGCGAATGCGAACTTCTGGTGACCCCCGCAGCCGTGTTGTTCAGCTGGGTCTTGTGCCTTGAGAGATATACAACCCTCTTTTAAATCACCTCTCCCCCTGCCAACCTTCTGCTCTGGGAGTGTTTATTCTTGATTCCAGGTCCAAGGCCCCCTCACATCCAGACGCGCAGGGTTGTTTACATCAGCTCCCCCCCTGTGCACGTGTTCTAACTAGCTCGGAATTCCTGAACACACAATCAGTGATGATTCCTGGCTTTCTGTGGTTGTGATTTAGACAAAGGCGCCTCTGTTTTCTTCCATTGCCTTTGAGTCGACACTGCCCTATTATTTGCCCATGTGCTGAGGTCATAGAATTCGTTTTGACTTCAGTAATATTAACATTCAGTATTGGATTAGCAAATGGGCAATGGTTCATTGATGTAGCTCGCAGCCTGGTCTCCAATTTGAGCGAGCGCGAGGATCGATAATTTAGCCTACTCTGTTGTTGAATTTCGAATTTTGACGTTACTTTAAAACCATGCAGGATGATTGGGCTTTTGCCTTAACTATGTCTGGCTGACACTCCCACTGTCTCTGCCGCCTGCACGGGTGACATGTGCCCGTTCATCAGGCCTTATCTTCCCTTGAAGCAACGTTGTAAATTCTGCCATCCTAGCCCTCCTCCGGTTCATTACTTAACAACACCTGGTGTTTTGCAGTTTGCTGCGCTTGGTGTGTTTCACTCATTAAAAAAACAAGTAAAAAGATAATATATAAAAATCATCAAATATTATTAATCTCAATTATGGAAGAAGGGTTAGTATACAACATTCCGCCCTTTTAAAAATGACCAGTGGTCAAATGGCCACGGGTTATTTTTAAAAATATGTATACCCTTCTTCCATCATGAACCATCGATTGTCCTCAAGTTTTGCTGCTATTCCTTACAACGCGCGCGTACGTGTCACAACTTAACATGGTTATTTTGAATTGAGCAAAGAAAATTAAACAAGCGTTAAACATCGATATTGCGTTACATCGGTTCTGATACATCATGACTCCGACGAATATTCATTTTTGTTTTTGTTAAATCCTGGGAAACGCTAGGTAGCGGTTTCGAACGCATTTATGCGTTACTTTCCTCATGTTGCCTCGTTCACCACTTATCACTTCGATAATTCGATCACGGTTTTCGGGGTTCGTTTTTGTAGTTTCTTCTCTCACTCTCTGTGTCGTGGGAGTGTGTGGTGAAAAATTGTGCTGCACATAACCAGAATTCGCGCACCCGACCCACTTTGACCCTTGGTTCGAGGCATTCGCTCTCTCTGCGATTACATGCACATTTGCCGAGTCCGTGTGTCGATTTAATTCTGTCCCTCGTAATGTTGCCCTCTTTGTTTTTACTAGTGTGTTGGATTTCAACACCATTCCCGATACGTCATGGACATTCGTCTCCATTTTAGCACTCCGATCCACATAATTTTTGGTTTCCCTTGGATATTTTCCATTCAAAGGCTCATGCCTGCGCTCCTCAGGGCGTGTCCCTGCTGTCTGTTTTTGTACTGTCCGATCACGCTTCAATTCAACCCTGTCCTTGTATTCGATCCGCGCGTCATTTACGGGAGCACTGTCCACGTTTTTGCCCGCCCTGTCACTTGCAGCCTGCCTGTATTTCACATTGAGCGCCGGGTTTAACACCTCGGCGGGTGTGGCGCGTATGGGCTGCCCGCTCTCAATCACTGTGGATGGTTCATCACGTATTTGGACCGTATTCTGTGTTATTCCTCTATTCCCTCCTGGTATAGCCGGTGGAGGAATTGGTCGGAATTGTATCGATTGTGT